TTTGAAATACCCATCAGCAGTAACGACAGAAACCCAGCATGAAAAAGAAGAAGCCCATCATTCCAACTTGGCCACTCCACCTTTTGCCCATTAGCTCCGGCGATAGCATCAACCCACACGTCCCCATGGAGGCCCTACCATTGTTGCACAGAAACCTCAATGCCGCACAGGTCTATGTTGATAGTGAGGAGGCTAGAGGGGGACATGAGTAGGCAAGACAGGATGAGACAAATATACCTCTAATTGGTCACGTTATAGATGTAAAAATTGGTGGCGCTGGCGCACAAGTCCTAAGTTGGAGAAGGAAAAATAATTCGAGGACTAGATTAGTTTAAAAAATCATCAAGAACAAAATTGGTTTAAGTGTAAAAGTTTTGTGATCAAAATGGCTAATTTCCCCCAATTGTTTGGCCCAGTAGAGCTGGGTAACCTAGCACAAGCTGTTGCTATTCAGTTTGCTCTTATCTGATTAATATGGGAGACCGATTCTAAAGTTACATAGACTTCTACCTAGAATATTTGAAATTGTTCACTCTGGTTCTTTAATGTCTGTAAATCATGGGGTTTTCTGTTGTGGTTTGATTTCATCTAATGTGAATAATGTTGTAGAGCAAGTAACTGCCACCTAACATTGGTAAATGAGTTTCTAAGTTCTTCAGGCGAAAGTTATAATATTTTTTCCTATAACATACCCCAAATTTAAGGTGCATATAATATGCCATGATGTGGTACAGTTACTCGTTATTATGGAGTGGAAGAGTGTTATTGTTTTTGAGAGTCGGGCTTGTCCGGCCTCACAACTTTGGAATGGTTTCACTTCAGGAAGGGTGGATAGCCTCTCGTTACATTTTTACTCAGAATTTCTAGCTAGTGGCTTTCTGCATGTCTCTTCTCATCTCCACTCTACTTCCACTTCGGCGTGTTGGGAATTTCTAGTTGATTCCAAATATCTCCAATTGAACCATTCTTGTTTCAACTTTCAATGGATTTCACAATTTTCAGTTACCTTAAGGATGTTATGTATTGTCTTGTAGAATGAAGCTGTGCTGAGGGCATGTTCCGAACTGCCTTCCTCAGGTAATTCAACGGCTGATGGTGAAGACACTGGTACGAAGGAGAGCACTAGCTGAGTGAAGATTAAACTTGGTAAAGCCTATTGTTTGATGTATTATCCTATTGACCATTTTTGCCTTTCAATCTGTAAGTCGTCCACAAGCAGTTAATGATAGGCCTCGACTGCTTGCACTTCTTTGCCCTTGGTTGTTGGGGCATTACTTAGTAGCTGTTATTGGTAATTATGGTGCGTAACTATACACAGTTGTCAAGCCATGATGCTTTTAACCCCGCACTGACTGTTTATAGAAGCAAGAATTAGGAGTTGCCAAAAAGCGCGCGCGCACGCACGCACAAAGCTCTTATGGTTCGTTTGGAGCAATAAAATCATTTTAGGAGGTAGCAGTCTAATAGTTTGTCAACAACTACCCTTTTGAATCTGGCATCTTTCTTCTTGTTAAGTAACACAGGATGTAGGAGAACTTACTCATGTTGCTGAAAAGCCTCATGACAGTGACGGAAATTTAGATGCTTTAGGAGGAACATGTGAAATTGCAGCCATACGATTGGATGATGAATCTTTTGACGGGACGGGACTATGTGGTCCATCGTGTGTGGTACGGTAATCGTAGGCTAGATTAGTGGATTTAGGCGTCCATCTAATGCACAAATTTTCGTTTGATAACAACGGAAATTCAGAAGCATCTATTTTTTGACGCAGGAAAGGCTGCACAAATTGGGGTGTTTTTGTCGAATTTCATTGTCATTATGATGCTGCCGATATAATTTGATAGGGACGGACTATTACAGAGAGGGGGGGGGGGTGATTTGCTAATCTGAAGCTGGTGTAGGAGAATTCTTTTGTATTTCGTATTTTGGATATAGCGTAATTCCTACGGGTTTGTGAAATGGGTCGATGACTTGCTAGATTAGCTTTGCATCTTTTTTTAACATATTTGTGGGTGTTGGCAGTAAAACGGTTTCTCGGATGACCGTGAAAGATGAGCCTAGAATTAGAATATTCGACTGGAAACCAAAACATAGATTGTAGATAGCACAGCACCATGTGATATGTATTGATATATTTAATTCCAGAGCACAAAAATGATGATGCAAGAAGCAGGCTGTAGGTGCCACCAATCCGTGCATGCGTGAGAGGCTGAGCGAAATTGATGTGGTACTACTACTGGTACTTAGAATTCATTCATGGGGTAGGGTAACCTCCTGAAATTCCGTCGGAACTTGTTTGACCACTCTAACCTCAACTTCCAAGCAAACTTTTTTACATGTGAAGTGCCCCCCTGCCTAACGTAACGTACAGCTTTGGTTTTCGTTTGTGTGTGGAGTCACTCCATTTCTCAGTCCTCCATCTACAGCAGCAGTGGGCTGTGAGCTGAAAACTACTCGCTGGATTGGTAGAGGTATGTTGTTGCAATTTGTTCGGAGAGAGAGGAGAATAAGATCGTGTATGTATGTAGAGCAAGTACATTGACGAACTCACTTGAATGTTTGGGGCTGGACCTGCAGGCTGCAGGATGAGAAATGAGGCGTGAAAGAAAGAGGAAGTTTCTGTGGGGGCGGGTCCACGTCATTTTACGTTTGCTTCTGGGAGGAGCCCATCATTATTTAGTATTATTATTATTATTATTATTATGAAATGTGAGGAAAGAATAAGGACAGAGCAAATTAGGAGAATTTTGATAATAATCACTCACAATATCAGAATGGCCGAATCAAATACTCAGGCGTTGCGCGCTACCGCGACAGCAAAGTCCGCGGGATTGACAAATGCTCTATCAATTAGCGTCTCAAGTTGGCAATAATTCCCCCCTGGCCTCCAGTCCACCTCCCCCGTTCTAATCTTTCCTTCTCCACGGTGTTCTTCTTGCTTCTCGTCGCTCCGAGCCTCTCCTAGGTTTTATTTTTGGTTAAAAACAAAAAAGTTCTCTGTGATAAATTTAATATACAGAAAAGTTCTTCGTGATTTTAAAATATACAACACGATATCTCGTACTTTGAACTAAATTATAAAGGTGACGGAATTCGTTAAATTTAACGGAAATGGACTAAATGATCAAAATGCCCTGATATAATTAAGCAAAAGACAGTTCAAAAAAATCATTTATTTTATTCTCTAGATAGAGAGAATTGAGGGTTAAGGGGTAGAACAGGTATATTTGTTAAAAATTAGGTATAAATTTTTTTTTTTAAGTTCTAATAAGTCATTTCTGTTAAGTTTAACGGATTCCGTCACCTTTATAATTTAATTCAAAGTCTAGGGTGTCGTGTTGTATATTTTACAACTACGAGAGTTTTTTTATATTTTATCCTCTTTTTTTTTGGGGCCATGAAAATTGAGGCAAAACACACACACACAAGAGAACAAGAAAGCGGTGGTGACGTAAACAGACTCCTCCAAGTCCAACACCAGCAGGCGCCACGGGTGATGATTTCTAATCTAGGCCACTGTCACAAGGAACTCTGGTCGGCAAATTCTTTTTTTTTTAATAATCTTAAACTCTCGCCAGGAAAATGACACACTGCTGGTCTGTCTCTCTTTCAAGTATAACACATATATTGGCATTGGCAGTAGCTCTCAATAATATTTTTTTTTATCTTTGGACCAAACGTTTCATCCAAACATAATACAGACTGCTACCAATACTAGTGCCAGTAGTAATATATGCATAATGTATATGCGGCCACTTGGAGTTTCTTCCTCTTCCTAGCCCTACTTCTACCTTTTTTCTTTACCTTACCAATTGCGGAAAATGGGTCCGCAACTATTTAGCTTAGATGATTACTCTCCCTCCGTCTCGTTCTCGTTGTGAGTACCGTACTTTTCATTTTGAATGTTTCAAAATAATTATTATATTAAAGAAGTTAAAATGTTTTTTAGTCACTCTTTCTAATATAATTATTCTTTTTAATCACATACATGCGACTATTCAAATTTAAATTTTGAATCTGTAAGAATAAAATTGAAATAAAAAATATAAATATTATAATCAAATCACTATTTTTAAAAAGTTAAATTTTCTAAATATAATGATTAAATAAATGGAACGAAGGCAGTATTATTGTTATTAACCATGACCATAGTCACCTCACCTGCAATCCTTATTTTACTCCCTCCCCTGACCCCTCCCTGGGGGCTGCTAGTGCTTACCACTTACAACTATTGTTTACAAGTCATAATTGCTACGTGACCGCAGCCTTCCAACAAAATTTGTCCAATTAACGATAACAAGTCGGTCTGGGTTTCAATCCCTCATTCTCCGTCCTTCCTTCCTTCCTTCCTTCGTCGTTGCTTAAATTCTGCCATTTCCCTGCTAGAGCAGAGAAAAAAAAAAAAAAAGTGTTGATCTTGGCTGTTTCTCTTGAAATGATAGATTTATCCTTTTCAAGGTCAATTAGGTGGTGTGAAGTTGTACATTTCCCTTCGCCGATTACTTGGGGAGGAGTATAAGAGGAGGAGGAGTATCACGGAACGGATCCGGATTCCGGATTCATTTTTAACAAAACACCAGTTTAGCTTTTGACAGATTCCCAGAAAAATCAAAGAGTGGAATTTGGGAACTCAAAATTAAATGCCAATTGCAAAGTCGAGCATCGTCGTGCCTTATTCTTTTGCGCTTCTGAAAAAATGGATTTAACTTTTACGTACCAACGTTCGGTGCGCAGTTAGCGTAAATGTGATGGATCTTGGATTCCGTGGCTGGGTGCACATATGCTTCTCTTTTTCCCTTTCTTTTTGTTTTTTTTTTTTTAAAAAAAAAAATCCTTCTTCCCATGCTCTAGTTGTTGGTGTCACATAGAAGCAATTTGGCTATCCATTCCAAGGACGTTAAACCTTGCATTGCATGGTGAACCATTATTATGATTTCTATATCCCCTCTTCCCCCCACAACCACAAACAAAACCCAAAACACCAAAAAAAAAAAAAAAGCACCTAAATTGAAAATTAAATTTAAAAAAGCAGAAAGTTTTCTTGAACAGTTACATTGAAGTGGGGTTACGAATTTACTGCTACTCCACTGGATTTTTAACTCAAAAAGGTCAAACGTCAGCCGTCCTGGATGGGGAAATTCCACTTCGAAATTTTTCATCTTCTAATCTAGTGTAATACTAAGTAACGAGTAAGGGGCTACGGCCTACGAGCAAGGAAGTTTCCACTCCCTGTCCCTGCCTCTTCTTTTCTACTTTAACTACTGCGCAGTGCTTCTTCTTTCTTCTACAACTAGTCCGCAGGGAAAGAGAGGCGAAGCTGATTTAGCCGAAATTACAGGCTCTGAATCAAATCGGTTATCTAAACTGACCTGCGGAATTTTCGAGGCTGATGAATTCTTTCTCTGGGCTTTTTCTTTTCTAGCATGCTACTTGCTGCTAGTAACATATTATTGATTCCTTTTAAAAGGGCCAAGACTAGTGCAACTGCTACTTTCTTCCATATCCTCCGCTTCATTACAGGAAATCTCAGTGATTCCACTGCGCCCCGAAGACGAGGAGATTGTTGCCCCCGGATTCAATTCCCTTGTATCCTTGCCCAAGAAGTCATAGAAAACAACCACCCCATTCATTTTCCCCCCCAGAGGAGGAGGAGCAGCAGCTGTGCAATTCAGGAGGGATGACTCTGTTACCTCATCCTCGGAAGATTTCCCACTTCTCCTCTTCAAGAATATGCGGCAGAGAACCCAATTTTCCTAAAAGAACCCCGCAACCAAATTAGAATATATTATGCATAGAGTGTTAAGCTGCTGGTACTTACTAGTGGGTAGGTAGGAAGGAAGGAGGAGGGAATCAATTGCTAATACCAGTAACAATAGTACTAGGAGTAGTAGAATAGAAATGGTGTCTGACCTGGGCCGATTTGTTTTGCAGCGGAGATATTGGGGCGGCGGCTTCGACGACATTAACGAGGCGATACTCATGCATGACCCAGTCAGTTCTGATCCCATTCGGTGGCTTTCCTCTGTAAAACACCAGTGTCTTCTTCACACCACCAACTCCTCCTACTCCTAGGCGGCTTCTACATGCCACTATTTGTTTGTCTACCCCAGTTGCCTTCCAATATCCTGAACCAGTTGCTCTGTTGGATCGGTTTCCATTTCGATACTTCACTTCCCTTTTGCTAAAGAAGTACCTCTCTCTCTCCAAATCACCTAAAATCAAAGACATCCAAGAAAAAAAAAATTAATTAATTAAATTAAATTAAATTAGTGTTGACATTACAAGTTTGTTTAATCTATCCAATGTGGATCAATGCATTTCCTTCTGCTATTATCAATGGCTAGTCGACGTTCTTGGACAATGATGACATACGATACGACGACTAGCCTAGCCAGGCAAATTATTACGTATTAGGCTTACAAAAATAGTAGTACTAGTTAGTATAACATGTTTTTTTTTCCTTTGAAAATGTTAGAAATATGTGTGTATATATATTATTGTTGGACCAACCTGGCAAATCCCAAGGGTCAGACTTGCAGACATCAACCTCTGGGATTATGGATGCAGGGAGAGGGCAGGACAGGGCCTTGCGCTTCAAGTACTGAACAACCAGCTCTTCATCGGTCGGATGAAACCGAAAGCCAGGTGGCAATCTCAGCACGCCATTCTTAACAAAGTTGAGTTTCTCCATAGGGAACAGAGGAACTATTCATTTAAAGTTAGAAACTCAGAGCAGTTGAATTAGGCACCAGTATTTACGAACCCTTCTAATTTGCGGTTGCAACTTTCAAACACATGTAACTCTTCTCTTTACCAGTTGCAACCCATTATAGACTTAAGAAAGAGACAGCACGTATAACATGATTGATTATTCAGAAGAAAGAGGAAATAAATAGGAGGGAAAATGCACAAAGAGAGAGAGAGAGAGATGATGATGATGATTGATGAGGAGAAAAGTTGGAGGGTACACTGAATGGGAAGGAAAGTTTGGCTTCTTTTTTGTTTTTTTTTATAGTAATGGGATGTCATGTTGGACTTTGATGGAAAAGACTAAAATATGCAGATTTTTTTTTTTTTTTTGTTTCGTTATTAAAATGACAAGGAACTCATATCTGGCGTGCCGAAGACTCAATCCTCCGTTTGCTTTGACGGATTTTTAACACCTAAGTTTTAAGGGCCAAAGATAATTACGGCTTACGCGGTGGGGTGGGTTGGTGTTGGGGTGCTTTCCCAAAGGTCAGGGACCCTCATTTGATTAATAATGCAAAATTTTTCAATATATATATATATATACTCCGCGATGCAACTGAATTCTGAATTGTTACTAAACATTTACCAGTATGCATGACCCTCGTATGAAACCAACTATTTCTAGAGTAATTAGTTATCGAAAAAGTTTTAAAGTTTTACTCACATAATTTTTTGCCAGGATTAAAAAAAAAAAGATTTAGAGAGTACCGGTAGGAAAAGCATATACTATAAGATGAGCAACAAGAAGCCCATTGCTTCGGGGTTTTCTGAATCAAATTGCCATCAAGACAGGACAGGATGGTTCATTTTGCTACACGCACGCACACTAAAGGAGGAGCCCCAAAAGAAAAGAAAGAACCATTAATTGTCATACGTTGTGATAGAAGACGCAATGAAGAACGGGGAAGGAAAGGTTGTATAAAGTAACCCAAAGCAAATTATAAGTGACGGTTTGGGCCATACCCGGCTAAGGCTAATTGGTATTTACCTCACCGACCCTGTAGTATTGTATTGTTGCACTAATCTTCCAAGTCCAGAAGGAGTCACGCGTACGGTACACCCCGATATGCCTATGCTCTAAATTTGCACGCAAAAGTCAAAACTATTGCGTCAGTACTTTTTTTTTTTTTTTTCCCCAGCAAGAAAATTAGTTAGTCAGCGAGTGCCAAGTCGCAAGTACTAGCATGCATGCACCAATGGAGCTGGTAAGCAACTGGCGTAATCATATCGTCTGTTCTGTTAGTGTTATAAAGACGGGGGGATTCATTCATTCGCCAACAATTGAGATGCTCTCTCTAGATAGATCTTATTATTATTAGAATTATAAATAGCACTACCTCTTATAAATATCTCATGACACGATAGTACACCTCTTATGTTTTCAACCGTTGAAAGTTATTGTTTGGAATAGTTATTGTAATATTTTTCGTGACGTAATATATGTGAGATTAAAAGATGATTGAAAATATAAAAAAAAATGTATTTATGATGCAGATAAAATATTATTTGAAATAATTTACTATCCAAACACTTCTACGTATTCTTTAGCCTCGTATACCAATTAAAACTCTCCAAATATCAGCAGCAGCATTGCTACTGCCTACTAGTACGTACGCACGTAGTTTAAATTAGTACACAAATGAAGAGCTTTGGTAGAACCAATTAATTAAAAGATGCCATTCCGGGTTTGTAGTACTAATTAACTGCCAAGCACAATTAAGGGTGGAAGGGTAAACGAGGGGAGGAATGGATCCTTCCTTTGGACTTTGGGCTTGGATTCCACAAAATGCATTTGCATGCGCTGGCTGGAGAATGTACACTAGCGATTGCCAGATATATTAAGCGCAAGATAGTAGATAATTTGAAACATTTTGTATGGATAGGAATTTTTTTATTAAAAAAAAATTTAATTAATTAATTTTTGGGCCCGGTTGGGGCGGGGGGAATAAAGTTCTGGGGTCCTACATGCTTCCAAAACGACGGGCACCCACGTTGGATTCAAGAGCAAGGGACAAATAGGCTAACTTCTTCAATTCCTATCCCATTTCAAAGATTTCCTTATATTTGCTTGTCTCCCCGTTTCTGTTGTGCTATTTATTATGTGACGGGGAAATTAATTATAGGACCAATCATCAGAGATTCCTTCGTTGCAGGGAAATACGCGAGATCGAATAGCTAGTAAAATCCGAAGTTACGTGGGAGGTATGGCTGAGTCGACAGATACTCTGCTTATTGGTAGTTAAACTGGAGCTTCAACCCATTTGACAATAATATATGTGGGACTACAGAAATCCCGATTCCGTATGGAGGAGGGAAAAACTCCTCCATGACAGCCACGAAAGTTTTGGTGAACCTAAGAAAGATGGAAGAAGATTTTAATAGAGAATAAATAAATACTACCACTACTGCTACTAAGGAATAAAGGGTAACGTAAGTAATGGAGAATTGAAGGGTACTGAGATTCATTCCAGCAAGCAAATGCTTTGCTTTCACCCCAACTTGGGCCTGGGGTGAGCAACACAAGTATGAAAAGGAGAGTTGTCTTTTGGCGAGCTGAATTGCGGCTGTGATTTCACTTTCGCTTTCTCTCTTCTTCTTCTTCTACCTTTTTTTTGTTTGTTTTGTTTTAAACTAGTAGAGTAGTGGTGCTATTTATTAGAGGTTGCGAGTCAAAGGAGTTTGCGTGAAGGAGTGGAATAGGATAGGAGGGGTTTATAAGTAAAAAAATAAGCAAGGACAAATACAGAAACGTCAAAGGCTACCATCATTATTGTGTTTCTTCTTTTCTTTTTGGGGTAAAATAGCAGTAGTACTACCGTAGGCTGTGAAAAAACTGTTTAAAACGTTTTTCCCATTTTATAAAATAATTTTTTCATTCCTCAAGTGTATTTTTATGTCACTTACATATTCACATTGGTCAAATTCGATTCCTATCTAGGTTTCCGACCAATTTTTTATCGAAATCTATAACGTATCTTGCACGTGATCATTTTTTAAAGACAATTTTATTAAATTAAAATTTACATAATCCAATCTATAGTCCCTCACATTTTATAAAATGAATTTTTTTGTCTTTCACATTTCACAAAATGAATTGTTTCATCTTTCACATTTCACAAAATAAATTTTTTCATCCCTTATTAATCATATGTACGAATAACTTATTTTTAAAACTTATGTATATATCTATTTGATTTTGTCTGAACAATACGAATAGCATGTAATATATCTCTATTTGATTTCGCATGAACGTACTGTTCAAGTGTAATTAAATAGATATACACAAGAGTTTAAAATAATTGTTAGTTTTCACTTATAAATCTTAAACATTATCAAGTGTTTAAATCGAATTAAATTTGGATAGAAAAAATAAAAAAAAAAGAAAAGAAAAGTATGATAAAAAGAAATAAGTGTTTGATATTTTCAAATTTTAAAATAATCACAACGTAAGAAATTCTACTGTTTATCTTAAAGGTGACGAACAAAAATTTTAAATTTAAACTGCAATTTGTTAGTATGACCATAGAATTCGAATTAGAACCGATTAATTAGATAATCTTATTACACATTTTAATAAATAAATTATTATAAAAAAAAGATTACAAATATTGAATAGATTCACACGGTGAAATCAAAAATATATATATGAGTTTAAAACAAAAATTCTTAGATTTAAACCCATGTATATATTTATTGAATAGTATGTATACAATTACAATTAGTCTGTTTCTGTGAAATCAAATAGAGATATATTACATGCTATTCGTACTATTCGGATAAAATCAAATAGATATATATATATGAATTAAAAAAATTATTTGTACATATGGTTAATGAGAGATAAAAAAAATTCATTTTGTAAAATGTGAGGGATTATAAATCGGATTATGTAAATTTTGATTTAACAATTTTGCCCCTAAAAAATAATCACATGCAAGGCACATGATGAATTCCGTTAAAAAAACTAGTCGGAAACTTAGATAGAGACGAAATTTGACCAATGTAAATTTGTAAAGAATGTAAAATTACACTTTTAAAAAAAGGGGCGAAAAAAATCATTTTACAAAATATAAGGAACATTTTGAACAATTTTTCCATAAACTGTGGACAATAGTACGTGGTGGTTCACCAGAGGATCATGTCTTTAAACTCAGCTCGATCCTAAATCCTCAATCCTCTTCATCAATTCATCGTCCCTCAACTGACTGTTCATCTCTCTGCCTCTCTCTCATGTCTTATGCGGCTTGCTTTAGAATCCTCGTTCGGCCCTTCCCACTCAATCACATTTACAGTTATATTTTTCCATTTCCAAAACCTCAATCCAGCTTATGAGTCACCAATGCATCATGTCACTCTCTTACATGTATTTTACACGCAGAGAAGGTGAACTCCATAGAACTCCAACCAACCCCCCAATCCCCCCCCCCCACCCCCAAAAAAAAAAGAAAAAAGAAAAAACAAATGACGAAGCAGCATTTACGTTACAAATGTAGGTATTAAAGTTTCATGTGTTCTCAGCTTAGTTCGAATTATAAGCGTCAGCAGACATCCTCTCTTAATTTTACTTGTGCTTTAGACAGCGTAGAGTAGAATCAATTTATTTAAGCAAAGGCACCAAGCAGCTATTTCCGGCAATTCTTGTAAGTGAAAAAAGTGTCCAAACCGAACGTTAAATTCAAACTGATATGTGCAAGTGGAAATTGGCTCTTTTATATCAATCATCATTAATGTATCCGCTCTTTTCTCCTCATGGCCTCATTACATGTGTTTCGACTTTCAACTGGGCTACATTCATATGTTTTTTATTATTATTTTTTTGCTTTTAAAGGGAACTTCTTCCTGTTCTCTCTCTCAGTTCCTAGCTGACCTCGTGCTGAGGCATCTGAGTATTGTACAAATAAAAATTGTCTACAATCCATTTTCTCAATATTGATCAATTAAATACCATATATTGCAGTCTCTTGAGTTGATCGAGATGGTAGAGTTAGTGTCATGTCTTCTTGCCAATTCAAATTCAAATCTCTCTTGGAACATCTGTTCGTCGCATAGGACTTTTCTGGTGCATTTTACCCCTCCGTGTGATTGGTGGGTTATTGTATGGGATGAAATTTATCCAATATGCACTCTCCGTAGCGACTGCAGATTCCTTTATAAAAAATAAAAAAAAAAAGAAGAAAACCATATATCGTAGTCATGTCACCCCTTACAATAGTTTAGAACAGACATTCAAA